TGCATAGTCACAGTGAAAAACTTCAAAATATAAGTGAGAACAGCGTGGCCACTTCAAAATAAAAATACTTTAAAATACACAGTATCTGAAGCATTAGAGTGTAACTTGAAATTTTGGTAAATTTAGAAAGCTTCAAATTTACACCATTCATGGAAGCCAAGGCCAAAAGCACTGTGCTAGCTGAGACTTAATTTGCAAGGCAAATGAGATTTCCTAGGACTTCAGCCGTGGGGAGGTGGCGGCACTGGTACTCACAAGAGTCCTCCTCCTGTGCATGCCCCCAGTGACGCAGTCACTAAGAAGTAATGACTTACATCTGCCTGGCCGGGACGAGGCTTTCCCCTGCAGAGACCTCACCGTCATGGCGCACAGGAGTCCCGGGAGGACCACACAGGGTGGGCCGGGGGCTGCAAACAGGAGCCGGAACACAGTGGCCAGTCTCGGAGCACCTGGCTCACATGTGACAGAGGGGAGCTCAGACTGGGTGCTGCGTCCCTGTCCTGTGGCCCGCACTGCCCTGCCCTTTCTCCAGCATCTCCCATGGCGCTCTGGTTTGCTGCTGCCGGCAGACACATCCCCTCAAGTGGAGCACACAGACGAGTACCCGCTGAATCAGTTTTGGACTTCAAACAGTGGTCTTTCCATCACACCCTGGCTGTCTTCAAGGGTTCTTGCTGGCTCTTCTGAAGTTCCTCCTTCTTGGTTCTGCCTTACAAGAGCAGCCAAACCATAGTGTGTAGGCCAGCTGGGGCACCTGTTACCATACCTGCTGTACAATGGCTCTGCTTGAGGCTCTAGGCAGCCTGGAAAGCAAATCTGCACCCTATCCTCTCCAGAGCAGGACACAAACAGAGAGCCCCGACTGCAGTACCATGGTTCTGGGACCCCGTACTGTGAGTCTGCTTTTGAAGAGGCCACGTGTACAGAAGAACGCTAGCTGCACACCGGGACTGAGATGCGCCCACTCACGTGTATGTATGTGTCTTGTATACTGTGTGTCTGTACCCACAGAGGAGCACACTCATGTGTGGGACACATCATTTCCCTTCCCTTGAGGTTGGGCTCTACCCTAGGTTGGCAGTAAGTCTTGGAGCAACCTTATGGAGGGTCAGGAAAATCCCTGGAAGCGGCTTCAGTTTGCCTGAAATGAATGGACTGGCTTGCACCCAGGCTGAGACGAGGTCCTCCTCGGCGTGGGACACACAGCTATCTCTGGACTTTGAAATAAACTACTGTGCCTTTTCCTCTGAAGCCTAATGGGTTGTCTAAATAAGTGGCAAGGCTAAAGAAATGCAATTTCAGGACACACAGTACAAACCACATTGATACAGGGACTGCCGGTTCTAACGAGGACCACAATAAACAAAGACGGACAGAATGGGAGAAAAATATGAACTGGAGCCCTCACATCCCTCACAAGAAACACAACAACAACCAAAAGACAGACCTACGGCCTGATGGTGACTTGTAGCTAACTAACAGACTGGCCCCCAAAACAATGATTATCACCCATAAGTACTGTGCTCCTTTAAAAAGTCATTTGAGGCCACAACAATCGGCACTTCGCTTGAAACAAAAGCTGCAAACGCAGGAGGCGCGAATGTAGACGACTGGAAGTGAACAATGAGAATATCCACGCACTGAAAAATGTAATCAATGCCACAGAACAACATGTGTACAGTGTTTTGAATCGCACGCTCCACGGCTGTGTCAACCTGCACTGAAAGCACAATAAAACATTAAATCAATAAATGGATGGGGAAGATCCTTACAGGCCTTCTTCCACAGTGTGAAAGACGGGGGCACCTGTAAAGTTTCCATCCTACTTGACAGTCTTTGAACCAGGAACACACTTGTGATGCTGCTCTTCCTGCTGTGCACGCAGCGTCTGCTGTCTTTGAGTTGCTACAAAGCTTGCCCTACTGCCAGTGCTGCTCATGGGGCTCATGTGCACAAACGGATCGCCTACGGGCAACTGGACCAGTGGGGGAGTTCTCATCCCAGTATCTGGTGGCTACTTGGGATCTGAAGATAGCCCTGGAGGCCCCATTTGTGTCTGAGCCACAGGCCTCCAGCAGCGCCCGAAAGAATGAAGAAGTGGCAGGGTGGGCACCCTCCTGTCTTCATAGGGCCCTGAGTGTCATGCGGCAACAATCAGAGCATGACAGACACACTCTTGGGAGAAGGTAGGAATAAAACGGCTGGAGTGCCAGCCCCATGGAGGCAGTGCTGTGCCCGCCTCACTTAGTGGTGCGACTGCCTTGTGCAGAGGCTCCTGGGAGGCAGGCCGACGGAGGAGGGGAGACACGTGAGGGTTCAAGAAAGTGAAGGAGAGGTGACAAAGAGCAGAAAACCTCAGGATCAAGGCGAAGAGAGAAGAGGAAGAAGGGTGTGTGTGTGTGTGTGTGTGTGTGTGTGTGTGTGTGTGTGTGTGAGAAAACGTAAGAAGCAGGGACAAGGAGATGGGGGGTGGGGAATGGCTGGGGCAGTAGGAAATAGAGGAAAGGGGCGGGCAAAGAGAAGGGTGGCAGGGCTGGCATCTCAGCAGAGCACAGGCCATATTTCGCTCCCAGGTGTGTCCTGAACTGTGATGGCGCTGCAACCTGGACTTGTGCTTCCACCTTCTGGGATGAATGGTTTGGGACTATTGACAGCTTGTATACCAAGCAGGTATAGGCCCTTAATTTAGATCTTTAATTTTTTTTTTTCTTTTTTAAGCCAATGTACTCAACCACTGGGAGCTTGAGAGGCTCAGAGGCAAAAACAACCAGTTTTTTAAAAATGCATTTCTTGAATTGAGAAAGATATGTTTTCTGTGTTCTAGTGGAGAGCTATTATAGCCTCGCTTACATCTCGTAACTCAAATAACAAAGGCCTCACTAATGCATTAACAGAGTTCAGTATATCACAGTTAACAATTACAATAAAATATTAACTTGTAGGATTTCTCTCCAACAGCTTCAGGGCCATGCGCTCCTTAGACCATCTCAGTGTTTGGAAAATTGCCCTCAGCACATCTGGACAGATGCCAGAGGAGGCAGCTCCCTCTGCACTCTGTTCACTTCATGGCATAGAGAACTTCATTTTGGAAAGGCTGCTTTCCAAGCCCTCTGAGAGAACCATGAGCATTTATGTAAAAACTGCCCATAGTCTTCTGCAGACAAGGGCGTCTTTCCCCTAGAGACCAACTCTGGACTATATCTTGGTCACTTCGGTGGAGCCCGCACTGTACTTGGGGACAGACAATGCCACGTCCCATCACTTCTCTGTAGGACCGTCTCTTCTTCTCTACAATGGGGTGACACCTGATCTCCAAAAGGCACCAGTGAGGACACTGAGGAGATGTTCACGGTCTTTCATCAGGACAGCCACAGACAAAAGCAGCTCAGCTGGACAGGGACTGACCAGCATGCCTACTCTCTTCAAGAGGCAAAGGGGCCACCTCCTAGAATCTAGGTCCTTGGCACTTGGTCACTACGCCAGAGGTCACTGTAACGTTTACAGGATGTAGAAGAGGCAAAAGGGACCCATTAGTTTCCCAGAGAATCATCCCAGACTGAGCCTTGCCTTTCCAGGTCCTGTGGGTCAGGTGAACCCATGGGAGGAGCATGCTTTCACAGAGGGGACACCGGCCTGTAGGTGAGGGCAAAAAAGTCTGGAATCATTTAAGGGCTCAAATCTCACCCCGGTGGCTCACTAGCAGTGCGACCTTGAACATGAGGTGACTTCCATTTCTCTGTTAAACAGCAGCACCCATCCTTTTCTCAAGGTGCCGTAGGGAGTCGGTGAGAGAGCACCCATGGAAGGGTTCCTTGGACACCTGACTATTTGCAGGAAGTGCTTAGTAGGCCTGCATCCTGCCAGGGGTGGGGCCTGACGGGCCGGGGGAATGACTGGCTGCCCTGTCCAGCCTGTGAGGCCCTTGCAGGCACACGATGCAGACTTGTGGATCGATGGCTAAACAGACAAGGAAAGAATGCGTTGGTCAACAGGTAAGCTGTGTGTGAGCAAGCGAGTGAGTGAAGCTTGCAGCTACCCCTACCGAACAGCAGACTTCCTGGGGATGAGATGCTGGCCAAATAAGCCAAATACAACACAAGTCAACACTTCAAAAACAAATGGCAAAAGACACGGATCTCGTGGGTTCTGTGTTCACTACATATGGAACGAAAACTTGAAGACCGGCCGAAAGCCACCAGGAGTCTGAACGCCACCAGAAGTCATGCGTTTCTCACTGTTATCCCACCGTTTAATCGACAGCCCTATTACTTATGTGGGACATGAGGGGATCTGAAAATTATGTGAGGAGAGAAAGAAAACATGTCTATTCTAATTTTCCACTTTTTCCCCAATGGTAGTCTCTGCAGGCTCAGTCACTGCCAGCCAGATACACACCGAGCACTTGCCTTCTTCCACTGAAGACTTCCCCCACCCCCCTACCACCCACCCCAACACTGGGGTTCCGGCCTGGGATGAGTGAGTGCCTGCACCACGTCCACTGGCCTTCGGAAACGCATATGGACGCTCTGCTGACTTCTCACTAGCAAGAGCAGTACTGATCAGGGGGGCAGGCTAGAGGCCACAGCTGGCCCAGAGGGCTGCCAGTTGGGCTCTTTCTGCCGGGCTTGAGGTTGTGACAGGAAGGTCAGTGGGTGTACGCTCTTGTCATTGTGTGAATAGATGGCCATGGCTGCCTAAGTCAAGGGCAGAGACTCCCACCTGCAACATACTGCCAGAAGAAAGGGCAGAGAGGCCGCCCCTCAGCCTGCGAGGTGAGGAGACCATGCCAACTGTTCAGTAATCAGCTCTTGAGCACAGGGTCTAACCCTAAGTACATCCCTCCTCCAAAAGCTCTGCTTGAGACTGCAGTGCCTTCACACCCTGGAACGCGGCCACCCCGGCCTCTCCTCTGTCCTCTCACCAGGGAGAGGCTGCCTGGTGTCTGCCTGGCAGGCGTCCGAGAGCACCCGGCTCTCCCGGACAAAGGCAGAAGCTCCTACCAGCTCGTGGCTCTGTGGCTTGCCCTGCAGCTTCTGGTGGTAGTCGAAGGTCAGCCTGTCTAGGACAGCGTGCTCCTCGTCGTCCACGGTGGCCATGGAACGCTCCTTGTTGATCTTGTCGATGTCAATGGGCTCCTCACCCTCCAGGATGGCACTCCACCAGTATTCTCCCACTTTGTTCAGGTTCACCTAAGGCCAGAGGAGACAGAATGCAGTCTGAGTCCTAAGAAAAGACAGTAATAATGGTTGCGAAGCCTCTGTGAGGGACCAGCCCATGAGGGAAGCTGCTGGTCAGCATGTAAGGGGACTGGCAAACTGGTTGAGCACCAGATGCCCAGAGGCACTGAGGCTGAGCATCCACTCAGAACACGCTCTGCCAGTCCAGGGAGGGCGGGCTGAGCCTTCCAGAGGCAGCTCTGCCATGATAACAAGCATGCGGCCCGTGCAAACGCACTGCAATGAGAAACGCGGGGGCTGGGCAGCACCGGCATCAAGCATGCAGGCAGGGGCTCAAGACCTGCAGTTCTCTCCTGTGACGGGCAAGGTTTTTCTTTTGTAACAGAAACTTATGATTGCTGCAGAGGATGGGAGCCACCAGCTGTGGATGTCATCACCCATCCACTGCCACTGCCCACACCGAACCCACCTGCTCAGGCAGGCGCAGGCGCTCTCAAGAACCATTTCTGAGCAAGGGCGTAAGTTTTCCAAAAGCCTCTTGCCACCCTCTCTGAGTCAAGGTCAGAATCTGGATACACAAGCGGACACTTCCCTCATGTGCTAGGCACCTGGTCCACAGGCAGCCACAGAAATCGGTCCCGGTATACGGGCTTCACGGTCTGTCTTACCTAGCCATGCCCTGCCATGCTGCCTAGCTCTTGTCAACCACTAGCTTACCCCGGTCATCAACTCCTTCTTCTAACAGTGGGGTTCACTTCAGGCTTTCTGAGACCTGATCTCAGAGATGGACCTACCAGATCAAGGGCTTAAGCTGAAATAGGACAGAATCTCCTAGCGTTAAGCTCACACGTTAGACTGGATCTTCCCGGGGTCAAACTGGCTGCATGCCCTAACCTCACTCCTTGCCTGCTGGCCTGCCCAGGCCCAGGCTTTCCACTCACGGATCTTGGGTACTACCAAAAACCACAATGCAAGACTAGGTCCAGCCTCACCTACCCCATTTCTGCGCAAACCTTTCAGGTACCTCTGCCAGTGGCTGCATTCAAACTCATTTCCTGGTTAAGGGAAACACCACCCATCTGATTCCTGGACCTTTAGGGTCCCTCCATGGCTACAGCTGCAGCTCCCTAGAGGGAGTTCTCTTGCACTGTCCTTTCTGATGGGGACAAATCAGCCACGCTGCGTATAGAGGGGAGGGTGTGTATGTGCAAAACAGAAACAAGGACCTAACCAAGAAGAGAAGCTCCCCCAGCTACAGGAGAGCACGAATGGTCAGCTGGGTAAGATCTGCCAGGTTACATTTCAGAGCCCCAGTCACATGGGCATATGTGTCCCTGAGGAAGACCACTAAAGACCTGGCCGGCCCTGCTATCCCCTTCTGTTTTCTGGTAGCATTTATATTCACCCCAAAGTGGACACAGGCTCTGAAACAATCCCGCGAGTGAGACGCCTTCCATCCTCCACCAGCCCTGAGCTCTTGCTGCTACTTCAGAAAAACGGACACGTGTCCTTCAGATTCTCCTTGGGGCAAAAACAGGCTGGAAACCAACGACCATATTAAGTCCTTGAGAAATTATTCCCACTCGTTAAGAAGGATGGGAATGAGGACGCACGTGAGGTCAGAAAATAGAGAAAAATATTCAGAAGTGGGAAAAGCAAGACAAAGAACTGCAACCATGACATTCATAGCAGCAGCAGCGTATCACCAAAACACGTACCCTTTAATTTCTGGTTTGCACGGGTGGAGGCAAAAAGAAGAAAGGGCGAGTCGGTAGTTCTTCAGAACATCTTACCCTTCCAGGACTGCCAGCTCCAGCAGGTCAAGTCCAAGGAAGACATTACTTCTAAGCTGCCACTGCTGCACTTGAAATTTAAGACAGATGTTTCCACTTCCAGGCACCGCGAAGCTTCCCTGTGCCGGCCACTGTGGCTGATAAATGGGCTGACCCAGAGTCATCCCTAGAGACTCTTCTTCTTAGGCGTGGACCTCGTCATAGCCCATTAACCAGTCCAGAGTGTCGTGGTCCAGATCAGGGCACACAAGCCAGGCCGGGGGGCACAGTGGGGCATGACAGCGGTGACGGGTTTCCCTCCATGGGTGCTCTTGTGCTCAGAGACCACGCCCACATGTGGGGTCACACAACTCTAAAATCTGGAAGGCCTGGCCTTCACTCTCTGAAGGTTGTCCTCAGCAAACTCTACTATAACCATGGTAAACAGCCTGCTCACGTGCCTCCCAGTTAGGTTTCTTTAGTTAGGATGCTCCCCTAGAACCTTTGCACTTGCAGTAGGTTGCTGGTGAGTGTGGTGCTCCCGGCCATGGGCTCTGCCAGTCTCTCTACAGAGCAGCAGATGAGGCCTCTTCTAAAAGACGTTCTGAAAATGGCAAGGAAGGATCTACAAAATTTTAATCAATAGCTACTTGGTCCCCTTCAAGTATCTTCTACTATCCTTGTAGTAGGGGTGAGGCTAACAGTAAAAACGAGCTCTATTAACAATACACAAAACCCACTACTATTGCATTTTGATTTATAGCAATCCTACATAGGACCTCTGAGACTTAATTTTTTATGGACGCAGAAAGCTTCATCTTTTCCCTCAGAGAAGCTGGTAGGTTTGAACTGCTGACTTAGAAGTTAATAATACCTCAATGCTAACCACAGCATGACCAGGACTCCTTATATTATTAACAGTACTAACATAATGCCTCATGTCAACAATAAGGGTATTCTAAAACCAACTCAATGCATCCTCCTCCTCTCTGCAGCCCTCCTTTGGAGATGTCTCCTTTCTTGCCATCTGTGCATAGAACTCCAGGAGTCAGGGTGGAGCCTATTTCTCTTTCCCAAGCTCAACTCTCTGAGTCTTTGTGGTGGTGTCTTGCCCTCGCATAGCTCCATGCCACAACAGTCCTCTAACTGAGCGGTTTCCTCCTATCTCGAATCCTACAAACTGCCTTAACTTGTGGCTGTTACTGCTGACATTTGTACATTTAACTATTTCTTCTTGAAATAATAACACTGGGTGGACTGTCTGCCTGTGTGAGTGGATATGTAATATATAGTGCAATAAGTCATAAAATATTTTTTCCTGAACCATTTAAGAACAGGTTGACTGCATCTTGGCTCTTCACCTCTAATATTCTGTTGATTTCTACTAAGAGTAAAAAAGTCCTTTCATATTAGTTCACACCAGAACAATACTTTAGCCTATGATTTAATCTACCATTCGTACCCCAGGTTTGTCACAGGGCCCAATCATGACCTTATCTCGGTTTCCCTCTCATCTGAGACCCAGCGCTGCATGGTCGCTGTCATGTCTCCTGTAATCTGGAGCATTTCCAGAGTCTTGGTCTTCTGTGGGGATTGCCTCGGGATTGCTCTTGGTTGACAGCAAGACGTGCCCTCTCAGTGTGCCTCTCCTGGGGTCTCATATGTAGATACAAGCCTCTCACTGGTTCATTTTGATCATCTGGTTAAGTAGGATATGGTCTGATTTCTCCTTTGTACACTTACTGTTTTATTCCCCTATAACTTACAAGAATCCATGAAAAGACATTTTGAGACCATGTCATTTCTCCACATAAAAATGTCTATTTAAGTTTAATACCACTCAAGACTCTTGCCTGATCAAAAATTTAAATGAAAGATGGAAAATTAGGATTTTCTATTCCAAGACTCCCTCTGTATTTGAGTTTTTGTCAAAACCAAGAGCCTGCCGTTACCCCATTAGTTAATGTACTTTTCTCATATGATCAGCATGACTCCTGGATTCCCCTTGGTTCACTCACTTATAATTCATTACCATCCTTAAGTTTGGTGCTCAAAGTATCCAAGCATAATCAGAGGAGGTCCCTTTAAACTGATGTCTAGGCTCCAGGGACTTGCCCTCATCATTTATTTAGGTTCTTCCTTACTTTCTGGCTGAGCCTTGGTAGCACTGCAAACACAAGGTCAGCAGTTTGAAACCACCAACTGCTCCGCAGGAGAAAGATCAGGCTTTCTACTCCCATAGAGGCGGCAGTCTCGGGAACCCACGGGGCAGTTCCACCCTGTTCTAGGAGGGTCGCTCTGAGTCAGAACCAGCTTGGTGATAATGAGATTGGAGCTGTGGTTTACTCTCTGCCATAACAAAATATTCTAGGGTCTTCTTCTTCTTTTACCTACCCTGCATTAGGTGTACAATGAATTTCTCAGAAGAATGTGCAGAATGCTGGCAGAACAATTTCCCCAAAATGTCCTCACAGAAACGTTAAACAATATGAATAAACTTATCTTAGCATCCCCCAATCTATGCCAGATGACTCACCAATATTTATATCCTTTTCCTTCCTTAGTAACAGAACCTTATTTCTATTCAGGGAAGCAATGTGCCCAGCTAAAGACTATTTTACTCAGAGCTACTCTGTTTCTCACAGCTGAGCCATGTGATCAAGTAAAAGTTGTCAAATGGTACCTCTGGGAAGTTACCTTGAAAATAAGGATTTCTGAGTACATTAGGGATGTTGTCTGGAGGACAAGGGCAGATATAGCGGGCACTTGCCTTTCTTCCCCCTTTCCTCTATTCAGCTGCCATATAGGATGGGGTGAAAGCCTGGTGGCTGCAGTTACCATGCTAAAGATGGTAAAACAGAAGAACCCAGAAGTCCTGAAGGCACTGGTGAAGCTAGACCACCACCCTATGGCTGCTTGTCTCTGGACTCACTTTTCTGTGATAAAATAACTTAACATGACCTCGGCTTCTGGCTGTGACAAGGTAACTGGGTCTGGACATGTCTTCTAACTAGAAAATAACTGTTCAGGCACTGGACAACAGGCAACAATGATTATGGTACCTAAAGACAGGAAACAGGGCCCTATGATCTATCTGATTTGGAAGCACTTTTTGTACCATGGAGTAGAGCAGAGCATGGAAAATCCCATTGAGATGGCATGGATGGGACTTGGTGAGGCTAAGAGGGTTGAAACTTGTGGAGTCAAGTACTAAACACAAGGGGCTATACAGAGAAAGAG